GGGTTACTAATTTATTGGACCTTGGCTAGGGTACCAATTTATTGGACCTTGGCTGGGTTACCAATTTATTGGACCTTGGCTGGGTTACCAATTTATTGGACCTTGGCTGGGTTACTAATTTATTGGACCTGGGCTGGGTTACCAATTTATTGGACCCTGGCTGGGTTACTAATTTATTGGACCCTGGCTGGGTTACTAATTTATTGGCCCTTGGCTGGGTTACCAATTTAATGGACCTTGGCTGGGTTACTAATTTATTGGACCTTGGCTGGGTTACTAATTTATTGGACCTTGGCTGGGTTACTAATTTAATGGACCTGGGCTGGTTTACTAATTTATTGGACCTTGGCTAGGGTACCAATTTAATGAACCCTGGCTAGGTTACCAATTTAATGAACCGTGGGGCTGGGTTACCAATTTAATGGACCCTGGCTGGTTTACTAATTTAATGGACCCTGGCTGGTTTACTAATTTAATGGACCCTGGCTGGGTTACTAATTTAATGGACCCTGGCTGGGTTACTAATTTATTGGACCCTGGCTGGTTTACTAATTTAAGGGACCCTGGCTGGTTTACTAATTTAAGGGACCCTGGCTGGTTTACTAATTTAAGGGACCCTGGCTGGTTTACTAATTTAAGGGACCCTGGCTGGTTTACTAATTAAATGGACTCTGGCTGGGTTACTAATTTAATGGACCCTGGCTTGGTTACTTAGCTTAGAAAGAACTCCCGTGTGCTGAAGGTATTGAGGCATGAAGTTAGCACATGTGCTTCTATTAGAGCAAATACAGCATTTGAAAATATACCTGCAAGCAATGATCTTGGGGGTTCGGGTAGCTATGGTTTATGCTATGTGCATTAACCCAAAGTATTTGTGCATCAAGTTTCATCAAAAACCAACATATGGTTCTTGAGATATCAGTAGAACAGACGGACTCGCACAACACACACCCACACATACACAGACAGACATACTGCAAAGCAGATAGGAGTAACACAAATCAACTTACTTTATAAACTTCCATTCTGTGCTGTGCAATTAAAGCTAATTTTTCTACAAGAGTTTTCAGCCTTTCTTGTGTTGCATGTGATATTATATTTGACATTTCTGATGATGGCTCATCAAGACCAAATTTTTTACCTGTAAAAAAACGATACTAGAAATGTATTTGCTTTAACCGTTTTGATTCTGTTATTTACTCAGGATGAACCCTGATGTTGCAATACTAAAGTAATCAATATTTTTGGGGTAGTAGCTTTGAAACGCCAAAAATTTGATTGTCAAGTCATGAAAGCTGGCCATTGGACATTGTTTTATTTAATCATGTCCATTGAGACTATCATGAATTGGGTGTGAACAAGTAAACTATTCTTCAACATGACCTGGCGACCGTAAAAGGTATTTAAATACTTCCTCCACACTCTAAAGTTTACCTTTTGAAAATTGGGAGACACTAGTTTTTACACATTGCATTTTAACAACATGGTAATTCACTTTCGGAATGCGGTAAAAAAATTACATTGTCAATAATAAGAAATTTTCATCAGTACGACACAGCATTTTGATTGGTTAATCAAAGACGTGACCCTATTAGGTCAAAGAACATCGTTTCAGGTCAAATCAAGCTGAAAACAAGCAGCCTGTCGGCTGAGATAGCTCCGCTGTTAGCAATGCACATTAGTATTAATAGTATGTATAATTTTAAAGCAATCAGACTTGTGGTTGCAAAAATATTCACCAAAATTAGAGAATTAAAGATATCATCACGAAATGAACAAATCTGAGAGAGGTCCACATGTAGTACCTATATATGTATTATCAAAGCAATCGGAATTGCAGTTTTTAACGAGAAGTCGAAAATGTAACTTTTTACCAAAAAAGACAAAAATATTCATCAAAATTAGAAAATTGAAGATATCATCATGAAATGAACAAACCTAAGTGAGGTCTACCCATACACCAAGTATCAAAGTATTCAGGCTTGTAGTTTTCAAGAAGAAGTCGAAAACATAAAACATTGACAAGGACGACGACAGACAATCACTCATATGATAAGCTCTGCTCGACAAAGTCGACAGCGGAGCTAAAAAGTTGACATGGACAAGGGACATATGACAAAGTCAACAGCGGAGAAAATGAAGTGATAAAGAGAAGGTATGTGTGTGTTTTATTGAGTAAATATGACTGTGACAGTTTTTCGACTTCCAAAAATACCACAAAAATAAAAGATATATTACGCTATATAGTATAACCAAAGATAAAATGCATGTTCGGTTTTCTTGCTTTGGCAGAATAGTGTCCAAATTTTCAAAGGCTGATATTAATTAGCTGAAAGACGGTGAATCTTTTATTTGATGGGATTTGTTATGCTTTCAGTTGGAAAGACAGATGAGTGGTTAATGCAGCTCTGCACGTTAGAAGCATTCAAAATCAGTCTCACCTCCAGGTCAGACAAAAAAATCAGTAGTTTTCAAGAAGTCAAAAATATCATTTTTTATCAAAAACTAGAGATTTGAAGATGTTGCCACAAAATAAACTAATCCAACATACCAAGTATTAAAGCAATTGAGCAGATAGTTTTCAAGAAGCATTCAAAAATAAGAATTTTTTAGCAAAAATGACAAAAATATTCTATTACCAAACCAAAAATAGAGAATTGAATATATATCGCCACAAAATGAACAAATCTGACATAGTTATGTCGGTACCTTGCATAGACCTAAGTATCAAAGTAATTGAGCTGGTAGTTTTCAAGTAGAAGTTGAAAACCACATTTTTTACCAAAAATAACAAAAATACTCACTAAAAATATTTGCCAAACAGTGATTTTGTATATAATAGATAATGTGAATAGATAATTTTTGGCAAATGAACCTCTCATGAACAAATTTCAATCTACAAGGCAGGTTCAATGTTTTTTGAGCTAAAAATATGGCACATACTGTATCACATCAAGTGACCAAAAAACATTCACTTATGATGAAACTAAGTTGAATTTTACATGGCATTTTGTAACAAATGAACATTGATTTTTGTGCATATTATAATCACGACTGAGCAATAATCAACACATAAATTATTATGCTGCCATGATCATTTACTACAAAAGCAATGCATAAAATTATGTTTGTTTTTAGTAGAAACATCTTCACGATCACATTTTCATTACCAATAAAATTAAAGCTAAGGCATATAACATGAAAATCATTTCATCAGTCTTATTTGTATTCATGTAGAAATACCAAATTTTTTTGTGTTCATTTTGTGGAACAGTTCATGGCACCTAATTTAGAACCAGAAAAAGGCTTTCCGCTCTCCCCTGACAAGAGATTAGAGTATTTACAGCAGTGTGAATGCAGGAGAAAAACATTAAATGTAAAAGTTTATCTTATACTGTGTGTGTCAAAAGAAACTACACAAAACATGTAAAAAAAGAAAAACATTGTGTAAGCGACACAAAAAAACAGGCAACATACAAAAATATGGAATAAAAATAAGGTACTGAATTACTATAGTAAAAACTTGAACCAATATCATCTTGAAAATTGTACATATTAGTCACAACAAAATTGAAATTACGATGATGATTGAAAAGATTTTAAAGTTTGAAGATGATCGGATGGTTATTGTAACCATAAAAAAGGAAATTTCAAGTGAAATTCCACAAATATAACAATTCATACAACACATGCTAATAATGAACTTGGCCCAAAAAGGTTAATTACTTTGTGAAAAATATTGAACAAAGACTGTCAAAAAGTATACGCCAATGACGTACATGTTTTTCCTGTACATGTATGAGATCATAAATGAAGAACTAACAGCAAAATAGTAAGTACATTATATTGTCAGTAATTTCACTACTATGATCATTCCGTCTTTTCACAAGAACATGAAGGCGATGACAGCATGGTTTTTAGTAAGATGCACCACAGGTGTAAAATCATAGTCTCCTTGTATATGTTGGCTTTATTAGTAAAAAGGTGATGATTGTAGACTTAGATATTCCAAGTGAAATCACAAATATTACATTTGAAAGAAGCTAAAAAATTAACTCACATATATCTGATATCCTCTTTTGTAAAGGCCCAGAGTGAAGAAAGTGTTCATCTTTACAAGACCTAAGTTGGGTTCCAATGAACTCTGCATTGGTTGCTAAAATACGAGCACTTTCCTCTGATAAATTAACACCAGCCATGGATGCCACATCGTTGATGTCATCGTCGTCTCTGAGAACATTAACCACATGTGAACTATCAATCTCTATTGCAGGGTAATAAGTACCGTAAAATCTGTATTAGGAGCTGCATCTCTAATATAAGTCGCAACAATTCTTTTTTTAATAATTGAGTACCAGTCACCATTTCTCATACATGTATGTGTAGATGCTCTAATAGAAGCCGTATTCTATCTGTCGCATTGTAATATTTCAATAGAAGGCGCAGTTTCTAACACAGATTTTACAGTACTGAATTGCAGGGTAATGCTAGAATAGTATCTGTAATGCAGGGTAATGGTGGAATAGTATCTGTATTGCAGGGTAATGGTAGAATAGTATCTGTATTGCAGGGTAATGGTAGAATAGTATCTGTATTGCAGGGTAATGGTAGAATAGTATCTATATTGCAGGGTAATGGTAGAATAGTATCTGTATTGCAGGGTAATAGTAGAATAGTATCTGTATTGCAGGGTAATAGTAGAATAGTATCTGTATTGCAGGGTAATAGTAGAATAGTATCTGTATTGCAGGGTAATAGGAGAATAGTATCTGTATTGCAGGGTAATAGTATCTGTATTGCAGGGTAATGGTATAATAGTATCTGTATTGCAGGGTAATGATAGAATAGTATCTGTATTGTAGGGTAATAGTAGAATAGTATCTGTATTGCAGGGTAATAGTAGAATAGTATCTGTATTGCAGGGTAATAGTAGAATAGTATCTGTATTGCAGGGTAATGGTAGAATAGTATCTGTATTGTAGGGTAATGGTAGAATAGTATCTGTATTGCAGGG